TCCTGCCCAGTCTGAGTTTAAAAATAAACTTTTAATTGTCAGGATCAAAGCAAACCTCACTTTTACACACATGCATAATGCAGAATGAGACCCACCAAAGAAACAGATTTATCTTTTCCAAACTCAAATTGGTCTGCCTTTTTTTTTTTCTTCCTTTTTTTTTTATGTACTCTGGAGGTGAAAAAGGTGAAAGTATTTTCCATGGAAAATGCTAGAAAGGCCAAGTATTTTCTAAATTAAAATGAATTCCTATTCAGCTCACTTAAGACTCTCCATGCTTGTGGCTTGATTCCCCTTCCCTCACCTGCCTCACATTACATAGCAGATGTGTTCTTGAAAAGTTGAGCAGCCATTGATTTTTTTCAAATCAAATCATATTTGAAATGCTCGAAGAGAGTTGGTTATTTAAAGGAATCTTTTGATAAATTATTTTATAAAGCCAGGCTATTTTTAGTGTGTAAATAATTGCCCCTTCATTCAGTGGCATAGTAAGCATGCATTTGAAGCACATCCAAGCTTTCTTAAAGTAACGCACACCTGTACTTTATACAAAGTAGATTTGAGTACCACCAATATTTAATATTAAATGGATGCTACACAGCACAACAAATGTTATCCCTGAATCAGTAACTGAATAATATGGGGCCAGAATTCCATTTGATGGCAGTTGGAGCTGAAGAAGCAGAGAGGATGGCAAATGCCGTTTAATCCACTTCAAACCAGAAACATATTCTTCCACTGCCTCAATTATTCTCAGTGTGCAAATTAAGCAACTTGGGTGCCATGAAAAAGGTAATTCAATTTCTCAAGTGCCATTTTCCACATTGAAGCAGGAACCGGCTCAACTCTGTTCAGAAATCTGTCTCACTCCGGAGACTTCAGTAGCAAACACCCTTTAGAAGCACCATCAACACCGAGGGCAGATGGAGGCCTGTGCAGTCCAGATAACCAATGAGTCACTGATCCTGCCTTAGAGGGGCTCTGGTTCTTCACACTTCCTGAGTTACAAACCAGGTGAGAGTATGACAGAAACACAGAGGCATTCCCCCAAAGGAGCCCTCCACGCCGTGCTCTTCATATGACTGTCAATACCACAAGGTTCTTAGAGCCAACTGAAAGACTGATGGAGTCACTGATAATGACCTGGTAAAGTGCATATTTCATGCTTTCCCTTCCAAAATGCAGGGAAGTAGACACAACCTCTATATGTCCTTGGAAAGAACTGGGTATTCAGTTGGTAACTAGCAGAGTACTGAGAACTTGTAGTAAGTTCGCAGAAGGTGGAATTACAAAAAGAAGGTTTCTAATCTTAAGCACAGAACAGGAGGTAAAGAAAAGTAATAATTCACTTCTTGTGCAGAACCAAAAGACAAGAATTAAGAAATAGTCTGACCCTGACAACCACAGCGTACTGGTCAATATACTGAATCAATACAAACAAGGGCAAAACCTTTCAGAAGGAGCCACATGCTCACTGCAACACACCCTCAGTGAAGTCCAATTTGTCAGAATATCCCGCAATACAAAACACTCTATAAGCATTAAAAGTGATGTTTTTGCATGTTAAAAGACAAGAGGAAAACAGGGGTGCCCATTTCGTTAAGTTACTAATGAAATACTCGCCAGCACCACGTTGATAGTTGAAGATATGTGAAGAGGTCACATCACCCACTAATGTGTATCACGTGACATTACGTGATACAGGCTTCAAGAGAGCATTGTTATCTCCTAATCTTGCAGGGAACAGCTTACCTTACGAACTGCAACAGCGTTAGCGGAGGATGTCTTCTTTACATCTTCATAATTTAATATCGTTTCATTGATGAAACAGTCAATAGTCAGCTCTATTCATTGATATGACGTAAGCAAGGATCCAACCCAAAAAGAGAAAAAGCAAAAGTAAAATCAATTTTCTCAGTGACTGCATTTAATAAAATCTCTTAGGCAATAGAATTAAGCACACATTAATGGCTACGAGTCAGTATGCTTTCCCTTTAGCAAGTCTTTAATTTATGTGTGTGTGTGTGTGTGTGTGTGTGTGTGTGTGTGTGTGTAATACTTGGGGCTAAATTCAAACTCAAACAATGGCACAGTCCTCATTTCTTATTTTAAGTTTTATTACTTCTCAGCTTTATCAGATTTCTTAATCTTCTGCTCCTTTCTTGTTTATAGTGAATGCTCCACTGAGAGTTTCAAAGCATTTCCCACTATACATCCATTTAAAAAAAAATTCTTTGTAGACCAAGGGACTATCTACTTAGTTCACATTAGTCTCAAACTATACGTATGTCTCCAAATATGAGGGCTTTGTTTCTTAGTTCTCTGATCATCAGAAAAGGCATAAAAGAACAAGCAGAGAAACACAAGTTTTCTTCTTGGGAAAACTTGAAACTTCTGTTTTAAATAACTTCATGGAGGGTTTTATCCAACCATACACTAACGTCATTTTAAGTATAGAATGTCTATCAAAGAAAGCTCCTGTTTTGAATCTCATGACATCACCAATATTTTATTATTTTTCTCCCACAAAAAAGGCAATTTCATATTATTTACTTAATATTTCTTATATCTTTACCCTCATATCAAAGGACTGTTAAGAGAAAGAGAGTGATCCCTTGGTTATCCAGGGCAATTCAGAGCTGAACTTGCAGTTCAGGAATGGAGCCGGAAGAAGAGAAGGTTGTGACAAGTGACTGGAACACCTCTAACAATTCGTTTGGTGCATACTCTGGGGCCATTTATTAAGTAAAAGATGTGGGAAAACTAATTAATCAGGTGGCACCAGGCCATTTTCCATCACACCTCTTGAGGCATGAATGTGGTAACTATAGACTTTGGGGAGAGAACACTTCAAAGAGATTCCTGTATTGTGATTAGAAGGTTCTCGAGGGGCCTCTAAATCTATTCACTAAAGACATCCTTCAAACCCAGAGCTGGCCCCCTTTTCTTTTAAGAAGGAAGTTAAAAGCACAAATGTTTGACAAATAAACAAGATAGAGGTTTCAATCCCAACTTTCCCTTAACACCCCAACATTACACACAGAAGCTGGAATCATACTTTGATCATTTGCTTTAATGCTAAAGAGAAACTATTTGGGTACTAAAAAACAAAGGGATAATTTTAAAATAATTCTTACATACAGTGAGAGCTAGAGATTGAAGGAGTCCAGGGATATCACCCCAAAATATGGCAGCTTTATATGCTGATTATTTTAAATTAAGAGCCTTTTAAGGTTAGCAGATACTAGAAGAGGCTCTACCATATTCCCTTACCGGCCTAAAGACCAGACTCAAGAAAGAAGAAAACAATACTAGCCATTATCTAAATATTGGGCCTATTCTTTTCCTTTAATTTATTAGGTCACTGGGAAAGTCACGACATATTTTTCTATGCAAAAGTGTGCCATGACTTTTCCGATGACTCAATAGTAACCTTCAAAATTACCTACATTTCCACCTGTCTCCCTTTTCCCTATGAAGAAGGGTATATAAATTTCATTGGTTATAGGGCAATCACATGCTTGTGATTTTTTTTCCCCCATGAACATTGAACAAAATTTTGTGTGACTGTTTTCTTTGCCTAATCTGCCTTTTATCAGTTCATTTTGGGGAACTTTCAGAGGTCAATGGGGAAGATTTCCCTCTATGACCCTACAAAATCTACTAAGACAAGAAACCAAGGAGGCTTCTAGTATAAACTGGAATTTGACAGGGAGAATGTTTCCAGTGTACTCATGAGTATGATAGAAGGTAAGATGACTGGAACAGGAAAAAATAACCTTATTTTTTTTCTAAGATTGTGGACACAGGAGGCCTGTCAAAAAGCTGTAATTTGTATATAAGTCTGAAGAAACATTAAAAGAACACATTCAATTGATACTGTTGGATAAGAAGTCTAAGGGGAGCTAATTTATGTCTGTGTGTGTGTGTGTGTGTGTGTGAGTGAAAGCTTAAGACTTAAAGGTATGAAAGAATGTGAATCAACAAAATTTCTTCAGGTGACTTCAATAACTGTGTTGCTGTCTGTGTAATACTGTCAATGGTCACGACCATTGTGGCTATGGATTTCAAATTAACATTTAAAGTCTGTAACTTGTCAAGCTTCATCTTTGAAACTGATGAGATTACCAAATAACATTAATATTGTAATAAAGGCTTTTGGAACTGGTTCTTTTGATCCCCACATATGCAAGGTACTTCAAAAAGTTAATGGAAAGATGTAATTAAAGGAAGAGTTTATATAGATGTAAAAAGAATGTCAAGATTCATGCATAGGGTTTTAGAATACACATTTTCCATGAATTTTTTTTGAAGAATCCCTTCACATGACTTTTCTCTAAGCACAGTCATTCAACTCAGGAGAGTCAGGGTAAGTGGGTGAGGGAAGACAATGAGACCTTGGAAGAGTATGTGGGGCAAGACCTTGTTACTTCTATGATCTCCTATTATAAAATCCATTATACATTTCTCCAGATTAGTCCTGTTTTAAATGGTGACAACCAACTCAAGTGGAAAATATTTCTAAAGTTTTGTTTATTTACTTATTCCATGAGAGACAGTCAGAGAGAGAAAGAGAGAGAGAAAGAGAGAGAGAGAGAGAGAGAGAGAAAGTCAGCACCCACAACAGAGTCTTCATGGCATGATCTATCCCCCAGCCTCAGCCAGTCTCGATCAAGAGCACACACATGAGTTCAGTGCATACAGAGAGATCTCAGGTCTTGAACTGAGGATCTTGTTGTGGATGTCTAGTTGCATTACTACTGTGCCACTGTCTGCTCTTGCCCCTCTTCTACCCAGGTAGATTTCTTATTCACTACTCTAGATAATTTCGTAGAGATAGGAAAAAAAGGACTGTTATAAACCATCTTTAGAAATTCAGTTACAGTATGATTGAGAAGAATGTGTACATATCCTGAAAAACTCACTACCATTCTCAGTTCTTCCCCCTGTCTGCAAATATTCTGAATTCCAAACATTTGAAAACCAGTTTTAAAATGTACATGAGGGCACAAGTGTTTTTAAATTGGGAATTGCCTGCACCCAGTTAGTTATTGAGTTAGACATATATTAGGTTTTCAGAAAAGTCATGACATAATGGGACCAGCAGTTAGAGTAATGGCTATGTCACTGGACTCCCATGAACGGAGGAGAAGGGATTGCGGCATGGCCATTCCCCCCTGGGGGGTGATTTCTCGCTTTCTGTCTCTCTGTCTGTCTGGTGAGCGCACGTGCCCTATAGCAAAAACCACTCCAAAAAAAGAAAAGTCATGACATATTTTTCTATGTAAAAATGCATTATGACTTTTCTGACAACCCAATAAATTGACAACAAATAAATTAATTTCATCATTAAGAAATGTTGAGTGCGGTTGCCTAGGTTGGGCTTTGCATAACTGCAGGGGGTCTCTTTCACAAGCTTTCAATGTGAATGGTGCCACCTCTCCACATTCGTGCTATGTAGGGCTGGGTGAGGATGCATCTCAATTCCCTTTCCTATCCCAGAAAATATTTTTAAAGCAAATATAGATTAACTCAATGTCCTTTACCAGTGTCCTTTACCCACAAAGTCACTGACCCAAGTGACTCATACATATTGCCCAAGGCACTAGGACTTATGTCATCCCTACCACCACCACTATCAGCCTCTGTTTTGTTGCAGATACCTCCTGAGAAGGGACATTACTCCTCTACCTTCAGAAGGAGAAAGATCTCTCCTTAAATCCCAAATTGGTACCAAGAATGGACCTTCTCGTGAAAAGAGGACCCATTTAGCACATAATATTCCTGAAACATGGTAGCAATATGGTGGAACTCAACCATTGACAGCACAGTTGTCCCAGGGAAAAAGTGCATTTTTAATTCCAATACTATAGGGATATATTTTACTCCAAGGAGTTATCTGTAGTGTACTTACACACAGATATAAAAGCCCGAGCAATACATATTTTCAAAAAGCAAATGGATAATGGAAATAAAGACTTAAAAGGGGAAACACAAAGAAGTTCATTGGATTCTTTGGAATATAACCATAGTATTTCATCAGTAAAGATAAACAGAAGAAATTCTTCAGCTTTTTAGATTCTTTACCACAGGTTGTTCATGTGAATATAAACAGGTCTGCCTATTTGAAGTTTTTTTTTTTTCAAGATTTCAGTAAAGGAAATCACAAAACATTATGATGGGCAGGCACAGGATATACAAGCAAGGTACTGGTTGCTAGAAAGATGAATGTAGTCCCTCTCCCCACTCTAATAAGGCAGAAAATGTAACACTATAGGTACATAGTGTGTCTCTGGAGAATGAGAGAGGGTCTGAGATCATGATTTGATTTTGAAGATAGACAATAATCCATCAATTTAAAGGTAGCTTTTTCAGGGATGGATAAAATGTAAGGCGTACTGAGCTCAAACTCAGAATTCCAGATTTAGGTCTAATGTTTTCCCAAATTCAATAAGATCTATGGGAATCTTCTGATATATATATTTTTCTTTTTTTTAGAGAGATATTTAGTTATAGGGTGCATGCACTCACCAGAGAGACAGAGAGAAACAGACAGAAAGCAAGAAATCACACACATCTTCTCCTCCTCCATCCGCCCATGGGGATGGCTATGAAACAATCTCTTCTCCTCTATTCTCCTCTCAGGATTTTGGGCACACATATATACACTTTCAGCATGAATTTTAAGCCACAGTGTTCAGGACTTGAACCGTGATCGACTACGTGGGAGTCCAGTGACATAACCATTATGGCATCTGCTGGTCCCCTGATAAAATTTCTGATAGAGAAACCTTTTCTGTAAGGATAGACTATTTTCAAAATAAGTAATTTGTTCATTAAGTTG